GCCACCCACTGGACGATGTGACTTGCCAAATTATTGGCTTCCGATAGAACATGACAGTCTACCGCAGACGCCTTGCGTGCCCAACAAACACTTAATAACTCTGTATCCAGAATTCAGCCGGCCACCAACTGGACGATGTGACTTGCCAAATTATTGGCTTCCGATAGAACGTGACAGTCTACCGCAGACGCGTCTTTCTTTCTTACAAAATCATCGCTAAATTTTAAGAAAGAAAAGATTTATAAAACCTACCGCACGTTGCTCGGTCGAAGAAGCTTAGGGTAATATAAACGGTTAGCAGGCTTACAGGAAGTATAGGAAAAAAAATAATATTTACCAGCACTAGATTCTTTTCTTTAGCCATTATTAGTACTTAGATTATCACGAGTACAAGATATTACATCATTGTGTGACTTCAGAAATCAGCATGGTGGACAATCGTGGTAGTGCAAACTTCCAAACTTGAAATTTGTGACTCAGGACCGATCTATCCAATAAAAATACAGGGACGATCGATCACATGAATTAAACATTTCCGTACACGTGATAATTGGCCAATCAATTTTTATAAAATTACAATAATGTTCGAAAAATCTTTATTTACTAAATCAAAGATATCTCACGATCTAGTAGTCAGAATTTGACGAAACTTATACCATTCGATTCGTCCCAATGAGACGAATCGAATGGTATAAGTTTTACCAAATCCTACCCGCTAGAACATGAGATATAAACGAGATTACATTCTCTTATTTGCTTATATGTTTCTTATTTTTAAATGCGTGTAAATTATTTCTACTTAATATATTCAATAAATATACTTTGTTAAATCGTTTCTAAATCGTTTATATTTGTATTTTAAATTGTAATAGTTAAAATAATTAAAATTTAACTTATAAAATAACAAGTTCATTTATAATACGTATAACTTTAGATTTAAAGCATATAAAAAACAAGTTAACTTATCTTTTTTACTCTGCTTTTCATATAAACACTAGTCAAACTTGTTTTGGCGTTTTCTAAAAAGTACTAGATCTTAGTTTTGTATCATTTGTCTTTGGTTTTGACACTAAAATACCTTCGTGTACTCGAATTACAGGCTTAACTACCTTAGATCTCTTATAAACTTTGTCTCTAATAAAACTTCTTGAATATTGTGATTATTTTTAATTAATTTTAATACAAAGTGGGTTATGTAGAGGTCTTTTGCTAGCTTTCTTTTTAGAACAGATTTAATTGATGAGTTTTGAAAAATCACGAGAATGTGAAGTACTTTATACTGTATAAAAAATTAAAAAAATTTTTTTATTAAATTGCCAAATTCAGGTTTGTCCACCATGCTTCTAAAATCGATATGTTGATTAGCGAATACGTGCTAAGGGTGTTCTGTGCTGAAACAGTATCACGTGACTATGCCGCAGTAAACATTCCTAGATAGCCAGGATGATGTTAAGAATGCATCAATGGTTATTAATAGTTACCTTCGAAAAATGAATTTATTGTGTTTGATTTAGATAGGCCTGAGGATGATCTACTAGCAATTCGTTTAAGATTTGACACTCTATTAAATTTACAGAATGAGATAGAAGTGCATCAAAAGAATAAAAAGTGAAATAGCTAATGCATAGATAAAAGGTATAAAAATTCATGTGATTAAAATTTGTGAGATCTATTTCTGGTGTGTGAATCTACATTTGGGATAATCATTGTATAATCTATTTTGGGTATATTACAAGCATATAATTTAATTTTGTGATAGATATTTACTCGCCATTTGAGATTGTCCTGTCTGAGATATACAAATCTGAGATAAACAAATCTGAGATGTGCAAATCTGAGGTGAAGGCACGATGCAGGCATAATGAAGGCATGATGAAGGCACAATGAAGTACTATAACATTCCTGGCAGTAGCAGGGTAGACTTTTAGAATAGTATAGCAAATACAATCTACACATGATTTAGGACTACCTATACAGGAAAACAATATAATAATAAATTTCAGAATCTCATTAGAGATTACAACGTAAGCATTAAACTCTATATTCCAATTTAACTATGATATTCCCATGATTGCGGAGCCTTTTTTTCTCCTTATCTCTCAGAAAAAAGATATATATATTTTTCTATATCTCTCTGACTATATATCTGGCTTCAAGTGAGAAATCACGAGAAAGGCGAGACACGCAATATTTTCATTATACTTTTATATTGTCTGTGCCTACTTCGCTAAAACTTTTTTTAGTCGATATGCCAGTATATAGCTGGGATTAAAACCGGAAAGAGAAGCAGAGCAGATAAACAAAATTTTGAAGAATTTAATTCTCATTTTTGGAAGAGACCTGGTAAGTTCACCTATGATATAATCTATTATCATAGTAGTAAATATATAAATAACTCATGAATTTGCCTTGTATATAAAATATAGAAACTCTATTTGACATATTGCATAATACAAATGTATCTACTAGAAAACATTGCCGTAACCATACCCCACTACTAACTTATAAAGTGCTATCAATTCTAAGTACGAGTTACTGTGAATCCACTACTAATCAAAAGAATCAATCTGCATTACCTATCTGAAGAGCTACTAGAGGAAGAAATGAGAATATCAGTAAAATAGTTACTATCGATAATAATAGAAATAATGAAAACAATGTGAATAATGCGAATGGGGATTCAGGTCATAACGAAAATAATGTATGTAGAAATTTAAATAATGCAACATACTCATCCTTATCTGAGTTAGCAAATATGATCTCAAAACTAATACATCTACATCACAGAGTGACAGTGATCTTAGTATGCCCGATATTGGAGATAGTCTGCCACCTTATATAGAACCTATAAATGAGGAGAGAAATTTGTGAAGCAGAATGTTAATACATCTTGATATTGTCTGAAAAAGTAATAAAATTTATTGTTTATATTTTTTGTTATATGACAATATTAATACTATATGTTTAGTAAAAAACCACATACCTGAAAAATTATTGTATAATACAGATTAAGATGTTCGATCAGGCACATACTCCATAATACATATACCACAGAATAAAATTGAAGGTCATAGAACTTTTGATGCATGATGTAATTATGTAACCCAAAATTGATTGTATAACACAGATATTTGATTAACACATCATATGCATTTACTAATTTTTGCCCCACTTTTCTGTATTTTTGTTTGGTTGCAGGTAAATATCACTCCTGATTGGACAAGACAATAAACATCATACTTTTCTAACTTTCTGAATTCTGTTGGCTCTATTCGCCTTTAAAGTCTCTAATCCTGCCTACTAATCTTAAATATATGATTTACGTTTATGTTGATCTTGATTATTTAGTTTTTTTTAGTTTTTTTTCAACTTTTTTTTTCTGATTTTTTTTTTCTGATTTTTTTTTCGATCTTCTTTTTTTGATCTTTCTTTTTTAATCTTCTTTCTTTTCGATCTTTGATTTTTTTCTTTTTTTTTTATTTACTGTCTTTTCTAATATTTTTTTTTTCTCTTTTGTAGGTCATATGCTTCTCCGGGAAAGGTTAATGAAGATTGGGATTGAGATCTTGAACTTGAATCTGATCAATATAAGTTCCAGTTCACATTTTTCTTTTCTTTGTTGTTTTTTGGAATTGTTACTAATGCTTTTTATTTTTTTTGTAGGTCTTGTGCTTATCTGGAAAGGTTTAATTAGGACCAGAATTAACCTTGAACCCAAAATTGGTACCAAGATAAGTACTAGTTTGCGTTTTTTCTTTTCTTTGTTGTTTTTTGGAGTTGTTACTTTTCTTTTTTTTTTGTAGATCTTGTGCTTCTCTGAGAAGGGTTAATTTGGATTGGGATTGAGACCTTGAACCTGAAAATAGTACCAAAATAAGTACTAGTTTGCATTTTTTGAAGTTGTTACTTTTTCTTTTTTTTTTTGTAGGTTGTGCTTCGCCAGAAAGGGTTAATTGAAACTGGCATTGAGACCTTGAACCCAAAATTGGTACCAAGATAAGTACCAGTTCGCATTTTTCTTTTCAGAGAAGAGTTAATTAAAACCAGGATTGAGATCTTGAACCCAAAATTGGTACCAATATAAGTACTAGTTCGTATTTTTCTTTTCTTTGTCATTTTTTTGGAGTTGTTACTAATGCTTTTTCTCCTTTTTTGTAGGTCTTGTGCTTTACCGAGAAGGGTTAATTGGGACCAGAATTGGGATCTTGAATCTGAAATTAGTACCAAGATAAGTACCAGTTTGTATTTTTCTTTTCTTTGTTATTTTTTTAGAGTTTTTATCAATGCTTTTTCTCTTTTTTTGTAGGTCTTGTGCTTTACCAGGAAGGGTTAATTGGAACCAGGATTGAGACCTTGAACCTGAAATTAGAACCAAAATAAGTACTAGTTTGCATTTTTTCTTTTCTTTGTCAATTTTTGGAGTTGTTACTTTTTCTCTTTTTTTTTTGTAGGTTTTGTGCTTCACTAGGAAGGGTTAATTAGGACTAGAGTTGTGATCTTGAATCCAAAATTGTTACCAGGATAAGTACCAGTTTGTGTTTTTCTTTTTTTTGTCATTTTTTAGAGTTGTTACTAATGTTTTTTATATTTTTTGTAGGTCTTGTGCTTCGCTAGAAAGGGTTAATTGGGATTAGAGTTGAGATCTTGAACCTGAAATTGGTACCCAGATAAGTTCCAGTTTACGTTTTTCTTCTTTTTGGAGTTGTTACTAATTTTATTTTGTCTCCAATATGTCAAGTCAAGAGCATATACATGTGTGTCTAAATTATTTTTGAAAAAAAGTATTTTTGGCTAACATTTTAGCATTGCTAAATTTTTATTTGAAATCCTCCAAAATAACTATACTATATAATGTATTTTGATGAAAAGAGTTCAAAAAATTTTGACAAATATGAAAATAATTTTTGTACTAAATAAGATTATAATTACTTTATTAGGATGTACAATTTAGGTTCACATATATACAAGAGCATAATATGCTATGTATTTCAATATTTTAATAAAGTTCAACTTTTAAATTTTATTTCTTAATTGTAATGCATTATATTTTTAGAAATGTAATCGATATTTTTGAAATTTGTAATTCTCATTTATGACATAAATTAATACATACTAGTCCTAATAAATTCAATTGATTTATATATACAAAATATTTAAATTTTACATATTTCCTATTATTGAATTAGTGAATACATAATGTATAAAATTGATTGCATATGTATTTAGACAAAATTAATTTAATTTTAAATTCATTAATTTTACATTCATTAATTTTACATTTATTAATTTTATATTTAATTAATAAAATTTAATTTATTATATTATAAAGTTAATATCTTTACATTTCCAATATTCTAATACATAGTAATTTATCTATGTTTATACAATAAATAAACGTATTTTGAATTTGTGACAAAAAAATTGTGTGCATGCCAAATTCATGAAAATCGTGCTATGTAAATGCATGCTGAATTCGTGAAAAAAAATTAAATATTATAAAATAAAATAAAATAAAATTACTGTTATGCATGCCAATTAAGACCTCTAAGCGCAGTTCTAAGCCTATATAATAAAATTAACACATGATAAATTCATAAGAAAAAAATTCTGTATACCATATATGAATTATTCTATATAAATGTGTATCAAATTTGTGAGAAAAATTAAAGGTAATGTAAAATATAATAAAATGAATTACCGCCATGCATGCCAATTAGAAGAAGCCTTTTTTGACTTTCAATAGCTGCTCTACCTTTTTTAATATGCTGTAAATACAAAGTAAAATTTCATATTATATAATATAATTTGAAATTTTACTTTGTATTCACAATGCATGAAAAAACTATGCTAATTAAGACCTATAAGTAGTGATGCGAACAGCTAAAGCTGAGCCGAAAGCTGATCAGCTAAGCCAAGCTAACTATTGGCTTGGCTATGGGTCTACTAATAAGGTATTAGCTTTAAAAATGGATTGGCTAAAACCTTAAAGCCAATCATCAGCTTAGCTATAGTTCTACAATACTATACAATAAAGTATTGGCTTCAAAAATAGTTGACTATTAGTATCATAACTTAAATTATGTTCAACTTTATCACACTTTTTCAAATAATTAAATAATTTTCTAAGTAGCTAAGTAAAGTTAAAAAAATCAAAGTTTCTTTGAATGCTAATAACTATAGTGACCCAATTGTATTTTAATTCAGAACATTATAAAGTAAAAACTTTTTATCATTTATGCATTTATTTTTTTACTTTATTTTTGTATTAATTTACTTTTTTTTTACTTCTTTATTTATACATAATTAAAATATATAGCAAATGCTTAAATAAATTAAAATGTATTAAATAAATCAGTTTAAGCAATAAAATTCTAATGATACCCCCATTTGATTTAATTTTAGTAATTATTTAAAACTATTGTATCTAACCATTTTGCTAAAATCTATCAGCATTTTTGAACTTCATTAAATAATAAGTTCTTACTATATTTAAGGTTATTTACATATCATTAACCAATTTGCTAAAAATCTTCTATTTATTTTGAAGTCACTTGCATACTATCAACTGGTTTTCTAAAAATTTATCAGCAATTTGAATCATAAACTTGACTTGGTAGTAGGAATAAGATAAGCTGATAATCAAGCCAGCCATAGTTTTGGAGCAAAGCCACTTCAAACTAGATAACTAGCTTGAGAAAATTACATTAATTTGGCTTGATTGTTAGCCAATCTGTCTTTACATAGCTCAATAGTAGATTAATCATAAAATTTACACAAAGAGTAAAAAAAAATTAAATTTTTTATAAAAAAAAAAAAAAAAGAAAAAACCTTACAGTCATAGCCTCAAAAAAATCTAATTTAGAGTGCGAATAATTTCTTAATATAGATTTTGCATAATGGTGATTAGTAAATATGTGATGGTCTAGAAAAATATCAGTCTGGGAATTTGAGAATTCTTGACTGATAATTAGTTTTATCATGAATTATTTTGATGATCAGTTAGAGAATCCTCAAATTCTTAGCTAATATTTTCTAGACCACTGCTCAAATATAAAAAAAGCTCAAAACATAACTACCTAATTCATATTCAATTTAAAAATTAACTCTAACTCCTCTTTAAACATATATTGTGATTGATACTGATGACTTTTTTGAAAATATTCCTGATAACAGTATAGCTAAATGTATTGCTATTACAAGCAATAGTGCGAATATTATGTCTGATATTCCTATTGTTTCAAAAAGACCTAGCACTAAACTTTCCTCTCTCATTAGACCCTATTTTTCACAAAAAACTATTGATAATTAGTCAGTAATTTGCGGTATCTGTAAAAGTGAATTTAGCATAACTACAGCTTCTAGTAACTTACATAAACACCTTAACTCTCGATATTTGGGCTGGAAAACAAACAAATTAATACCAATTTAACAAGTTTTTACATTTATGCCTGAAGCTACAATTTCAAAACAAACTCTCACAATGGCTCAAAAAACTAAATTTAATATGTTAGTAGCTAAATAAATTATAACAGATACTCTACCTTTTTCAATTGTTTCAAGCCAATCATTTTTAACTATAATCTAATATCTCAATATTAGTATAGACTTGCCTTTACATAATGTTATTAAGTATTTTATTCAAAAAGCATTTGCCATAATGCAAAAAGATATTCAGTTTCTTTTTGAACAAATTTCCAGTAAAATTTTTATTATGTTAGATATTTGGGCCTATCATATTAATATGCCTTTTATTTGTATCATAGCACATTAGATAGATAGTAACTAGAACTTTAAGAAAATCTTACTTGATATTTGTATGCTCTCTCATTTATATACGGGTGATGAAATTAATGCTAAATTGTATTCTGTTCTTGCAGCTTTTAAAATTACTGACAAGATTCTTTGTGCTACTACCAATGGAGGTTCTAATATGAATTTGGCAATGCGATTGTTAAAGGATAATTTGATTTTAAAAAATTATAATTTTTACTTTCAATCTTATTGCTGCTTGGCACATATTTTAAATCTTATTGTTACAACTAGTTTATTACCTATTAAATAGTCAATTGAAAAAGTGCATAATTTTGTTAATATTATCTCATCATCATCATCTATAACCCAGGATTTTAAAGAACTTAGACAATCAGTTGGTGAAGATAAAGCACTTGTAAAATTCTACAGAATATTTCAACCTGCTGAAACAGTACTTATTTTATGTTTTCAATCTATATAACTATATCTACAATAATTTTAGCTATAATTAGATGCAATAAAAGTCAATAAATTTAAACTCACCCTACAAGAAAAAACTAAACTTCAAGCTGTAATACAGTTTTTTAAGCCATTTTATAACACTACTAATATTCATTCTGGTAGCACATATATGACTTTAGGAATTTCAATTATACTAATCGAAGATATTATGTATTCAAAATTTAAAAAGTTCAAAATTTCTCAAAACAGCCATAACTCAAATATCTAAAAAAGTACAAAAATATGCTAATGAAATTTATAACAAAACAGCATTTATAGCTGCTATCCTTGACTCTCGAATTAAACTAGAATTAATATTTGCTAATATGAATACTGAAGCAAATCGTACTATTTTTAATAATATTTTTAAAACAGAATATGCTGAACTTGTTTTAAATAACTCCTCTACCTCTCTTACCTTTACCTCTTTTATCTTCTTTACCTCCTCTACTTCTTTTATATCCTCTACCTTATTTACCTCTTCTACAAATTTAAAAGTGCTATTAAACTTAATATATACAAAGTGAATTGCTCAAAAAAAAATGAAAATCAAACAATTCCACCAATAAAACAGATGAACTTAACCAATATTTAAGTGAGGCTATTTTATCTATGAATGTTAATCCCTTGAACTGGTAGAAGCTTAATTGTATCTGTTTTCCATATTTGTCTCAAATAGCTAGAGATTATTTAGCTATTTAATCTAC